TGTATGTATGTATGAATGAATGAATGAATGTAATGTAATGCAGTGTAATGTAATGGTATGTAATGTAATGCAATGTAATGTAATGCAATGTAATGTAATGCAATGTAATGTAGGTATGTATGTGTGTGTGTATGTTTGTATGTATGCATGTGAGTATGTTTGTATATATGTAATGTATGGTTGTATGTAATGTGCGCAATGTAATTTAATGTAAGTATGTATGTAATGTATGTATGTATGTATGTAGGTAGGTAGGTAGGTAGGTAGGTATGTATGTATGTAATGTATGTATGCATATATGTATGCATGTATGTAATGTAATGTAATGCAATGTAATGCAATGTAATGCAATGTAATGTAATGTAATGTAATGTATGTATGTATGTATGTATTTATGTATGTATGTATGTTGGGATTGTTTTTGTGAATGTTTATGGGGTTGTTTTTGTTTTTGTTACTGCTAATGGTAAGTTGTTCATGGCAATAAGCATACCCGAATTAACCAACACCCGCATTCAAAAAAAAAATGCAATGGTACTTTGTTTGGTCCCTCCCTATTAATCAGCACCCTTTTGGAAAATCCTTTTTTTTTGCTGCCAAACCAGCGGATTCAATGCATTTGTCACACTAAATCCCATGAACCCCGTTTAAAAACAAATGGGTTCAACGCATTTCTCATACGAAATCTCATGAATACCTTTCTTGGCTTTGCTGTTTTTTTTTGGTGGTGAAAACTTTCTCATGGATCATTAATACGAACTTGGCATTATTGTGAGTATGAAATTCCAATACATTTATGAACATGCGGTTGGGAAACTCTTAGTCTGTAGCTCCTTCCTCCTTGGCTCCCCATCAGGGACTTTGGACACCCATAGTTCCTTAGCTGCCTCCTAAGCACCTGGCAACTATACAAATTCAGGAAAATATTGGCCAGCTCACGAGTTGCTCCGATAGCCGCACAAGGGATGGAAACTGGTGTTTTTGTTTTTTCTGGATAACATAGGATAAGTATCCCACAATAGCCGCAAGTTTCAGGTGAGTGAAGTAGTATCATATTTGATATTGTATAATTTAACTAGATCTTTTCTCACTTTCCCTAAGGTGGTTTCTGGAGTGCAGCAACATGTGAGGAGATTCACCCAAGAGAAATGGGGATTTCCATGGCCCAACTCACCAAACATTGGGACATTTGCCAATCATCAAGGCCTGTGGCGAGTCTTGGAAACTGGCAGGATATGGTAGGACATTTTTGATGCACATGTCAGCGACATTCCTGCAGCAGAGTGTGTGCCGCAGCGATGCACGAAAGCTTCACCCCGCGAATGTGAGGAGTGTATGCTAACAGTCAGTATAGTCACGGCCACAGAGCCCCCGAACAAGATTGCCACAGCAAGTAGCAAAAACTTCCAGGTGTGCGGCGCGGGATCACGGCTATAAGTTGTAGCCCGCGCTGTTTTTGCAAGTGGGATTGCAATGAAGGTAAATGACGGGTCAAATGATGCAATATATATATATATATATATGTACATAGTTAGATATAGATATGTGTGTGTATGTGTGTGTATGTGTGTGTATGTGTGTGTATGTGTGTGTGCGCGTATGTATGGTCGCAAAAAAAAACACTATGTACTATGGATTATGGATCCACGTGCCTTCTCAGGCAGCATTTGGGGTATGATTTTGGGGACAGGCGTACCTTCTCAGCAAGAATTTGGATCCGTCAAATATACATGCATCCGTACATACATACATACATACATACCTACATACCTACATACCTACATACCTACATACCTACATACCTACATACCTACATACGTACATACATACATACATCCACCCGAACATACCGTCAGCTCCGGATACTCTGGAGTGCACCTGGGCCCGTTCACCGATGTTCACCGTATTGCCAGCGCAGGATGCTGTGGAGTGTGCCTGGGCCCGAGCTCATGCCAGACAGAATGCCAGATACGACCCCAAACTGAACGTCAGAATATATGTCAGATAGAATGTCAGAATAGATACAATGCCAGAATGAATGCCTGAAAAGATGCTAGAAAGAATGTCAGAATAGATGCCAGGTAGAATGTCAGAATTGATGCCGGAAAGAATGTCAGAATAGATGCCAGATGCCAGAGAGAGTGTCAGATAAAATGTTAGAATATATAATATACATGCCATATATACTTCCAGATGATGTGTCAGAAACTATGTCAGAATAGTGTGTCAGGGTGGGGATCGCTCGAAGTAAAGTATTTTTTTTTGTGGATATCCAGGACCCAACATTGGCCGTGTTTGGCGTTGACATTTTGGTAGACCCTGGCAGAAACCAAAAGAATGTAATCTGCAGAGTACGGTGACATATGGAAGCCTCAGTCCGTACAGTGATTTTTTTACACCTCCCCATTGAACAAACAACTAATGTGTGTGGTCGCCTCAACTATTCTTAGTTTTCCATCCTTATTTCCTATGATATGTGAATGTGAAATGGACACCATTGGGCCTACATCATGTTCGATCATGTGTCATGTGGGTACCTCAAGCACCAACCAACGCAGGCAATTCCAGAAACATCCCACAGCGTACTTTTACATCATTACTTTCCCACCCACTGATCAAGTATCATTTACTATGTGTGTATATTATATTTATATATATATATATACAAAAAAATATGTATAATTATTGTTTACTACAAATACATATGTACATACATTTACATATTAATGGCAAATATGTAAACACACACACATATACATATATATATATATATTTATTTACATACATACATACATACATGCATACATACATATATATATATATATATTTATGTTTATTCATGCACAAATCCAGTGGTTTGCCTCAAAATTCCAAAAATGAACCTTGCCTTACCGGTAACTGTAGTTTGCCACCCAGAGTCCCAGGAGCCATGGACGAACCACAATCCTCAACGGCCAGGAAGAATGTGCAGGACGTTTTGGGGGACCCTAACTTGGGGGATCCTAAGTTGGACCTGGGGAGTCCCAAAATCATGAATTTGCCATTTTGTATTCCAAAAAAAATATATGTACTGTATATATATATATGTATATGTTAGGGTAAATAATTGTTAGATTGTGGGAAATCCTCCCCTTTTATGACCTCAATTCAGGTTAGTGAAATTTGATAATTTACCCAGATATGTATACTGCTGATGTATTTGATACGGTGTTTAAAAGGGCTGGTAATGGAAATAATGATGGGATGATGAATTTACCCTCAGGTGTCCTCAGACAAGGATGGCTGGGAAATCCTCGAACAAAATAAGAATTGATCATATGGGAAAATCATGTGTAAATGTGTGATTTTCATTGCCACGTTTCATTGCCATTTGGATAAAGTAGATCACGACCGAAACCTGCACGTCACTCGAATGATGGTGAATGTAGGGGAAACGATCCCCAAATGTGCATCATTTTCAAGTTGGTGAATTATAGTTTGGTTGGTGTTTTGGAACATTTTTTCCATATATTGGGAAGGTCATAATCCCAACTGACGAACTCATATTTTTCAGAGGGGTAGGTATACCACCAACCAATAGTGTTTATCAACAGATACCATGGCATACTCCAACATTGCATATTTCGGAACAATGACGATGATATCAACCACTGGGTGCCATCCAACGTCCCGTCGTTGCGGCGTTTGTGTTGGGTGGTTGGTGGTTCCAAAATATTTGGTGATGTTCAGCCATACAAAGGGATGATTGTTTGAAATGATGAGCATATTCTTGGAATGAGTCAAAACCACCAACCAGGTTATTTTTTTTGGGGCCCAATGTGTCTGCCGCAGCAGCAGTCTAAATTTTGACATTTTTTTTCGCAATTGCACATAATCTTGTCATATATAGTAGCTACTGTACCAATAGGTTTCGGGCTGTTTTCATCTTCTTTCATGGTGGATATAATTTGTTGACAAAACCCGGTTTATTTGTTGCCATAACCGTAAGATATGTATAATGCATCGAAAAGAAGATGTACTTCATGACTGACATTTTATCTTCATGACATTTTGGGACATCTTCGGAGCATTCTCGCTAAATGTTTGCCTTGGGAATATGACGGGAATATGGTGTCATAAACATTGGTATATGGGGGTAATAAACCATCGGAATATGATATGGTCACAATATATGCAATGTTGATGATAGTTGGGGGTGCCGTTTTCGGTTGACAGAGCCATGTAAGATTGAACAGATAATAACAAAAAACGATGACAAACCGTTGAATTTTGTGTTTTGATTTCTGTGTGGCTACATCACCAACACACACATACATATTTATATATATATATGTATATGTATGTACGAATGTAATGTAATGTAAAGTAACATAAGGTAAGGCAATGTAATGTATGTATGTAGGGGGGGGTCCTAAACTAGGGGTACCCCTTAGAATCATGGCTAATAAAGGGGCTCATCCCTTATATACCTACAGTAGTGTCGTCACTACGATGTCACCGACATTTTGTGAGTAGGGGCAATCCAATTAATTCAATTTTCAGATTGGGGAAATATCATCCGTCTATGCTACGGTCACGAGTTGGATTGTATACTCATGTTGGAGAATGGTCATTGATCCATTGCTAGGGATTTATGGCCATGAACCCATGAACCAAGGATTGCCGTTACGGGATGTGCGAAAATACGCCATAAATCCCACGTCCTATTTTCGACCATTGCGCATGTCATCAAATTTGTCCAACTGTAAGTGTCTTTATAGCTCCATCTACGGTTCTAGTTCGAAATGTTTGACTCGCTGCTCGAATCTACCCGTTTGTGCAGGGAGAACCGCAGGGTACAGTTAGAGTGGTGAACAAAGACGCGGCTCGAAAAACCGCGGGCAAAGTGTCTGACTTTGTTCCGAATACAATCTCAAGGTAGATGAATTTGACGTGGATGAAGAGGTGCCCGTGATCTTTGATCACATTACGGGATTATCACCTGAAGCCAGTGTGCTGGCATGGGTAGTGTCCGGAAGGCCTACCGAAGGCGGGACGCCGCTCTTCGGGCCAGGCCGATCGACGTCGAAGAAGAAGAAAGGACACGAAGAAGAAGAAGAAGAAGATGATGACGAAGGTGGAGGGTAAAAGTAGAGTTTTCCGGTCCTTATATATAAGTCCCGAATTAAACCATGTTTCCATCATACTTCATATTCCCATCTTTTGTTGCTCAGATCGACATCCAAACTTTCAATGGTTTGGCTTGGCTGAGTTGGCTGCCTTGTGATGTCTGGCAGGAGTGGTCCAAAGCACGGCTTCTTCAAATCCAGGCGCCAGGGCTAGAATGGATGAAACCCCATGGCAAAAATGGGTGACCCCCATGGCCTATGGCTCGATGTGCAAACAAATCCCCTACTAAACCTTGGTTTATCATGGTTTCTGGGGAGTGTTTTTTTTTAATACGGGGCGGATTTTTTGTGGAATAGCTTTAGGGAACCTCAGAACAGATGCCGAAGAACATGTTTCAGAACAGCTGTTTGATGATGTGTTAGCAATCTTGTCCAAGTGTTTATTTTATTTTTACATTTTTTGGGGGGTTGCTATAATCATCACGTACGGGCCAAGTCCCATGGGTCTCCCCTGTTTTGTTTGAGCAAGGTTTCTGGTAGGGTTGCTTCAAACCCATCTGTCGGGTTGTTAGCATAGGGTCTACTCCACTTATGGAAAAATGGTATCCTCTCATGGGATTTCCCCCAATCATCCGATGAGTTGTGGATGTTGTGGCGTGGGAGTTAGGGAGCAGCAAAAAGATGTATGATTTCTCCGTTTTCCATCGCCTTAGCAGGATCTTCTGAATTGGGAGCTCGAAAAGCTCACGCAGGACGAGAACATGGTGGTTCTGGGGCGAAACTCGCGGTGAGTTATCGCAAATGGTAAGTTGTGAGCATCAAAAATGGGAAAGCAAAGGGATCAGATTATATTTGTTGTGTTGAGTAGATGGTTTCAGAGAAATCAGATGATGATCTTCACTAGAGCTTGAATTTTCCCGTGGGTGACAAGAATTTACAAAGTCCACCACCAAAAATGAACAATTTTGAGGTTTGGCTGGCAACTATAGGGGTTGCTCCGGACGCTGGGGTACACTCCACAAGAATACTTTTTCCCCTTTGAATTGGGGGGTACCTCATCTCGAGACAAACCTGGCTATACATCCTATATGTTTTTTTTTTTTAATCTTATATATTATCATATCCGTGTTTTCATTACAAAAAATATATCCCGGCCCACCCATTTATTGTACAATTTTGGTTGTTTTGATACATCCCCTGTTCCCATTTACATCCCAAATCGATTTATACCACCACATTCCAACTATCGCAACACATATTTGTTTCAAAATGCCATACATACCAACATATTCCAATGATTTAAACCATTCATTTTTTGTTCATTAGTTTGATAGACCCGTAATGTATTCATTCCTGTCTGGTCATGAAAATCACTCCACTTGCCATGCCATTGATCATTGAAAAGCTGCAGGATTTGGTGCTCGCCCATGAGCCACCCGGCTTCTGACCTGGTGATTGGTGCTGCTCCAATTCGTTGTTCAAGTTGAAGTTTGGGTTAAGGTCGATACCCTGGGGTAAACCAACATAGATGTGGAAAACCCATGGTTTCCTTGGGACAATGATCTACAAATGGTTGGTTTTCCACACCTATGCTGGTTTCCAGGAGGGTATATCGAAATATGTTTTTTTTGAAGGAAGCTTAGGAGTCAAACTTCCGACAAATATGGACAGATGGAAAAGCAGAGCTGAGAGCAGTCAGCGAAGAAAAAGAGTCAGAAGAGAGAGAGGTCAACGGTTAAAAGTAATGAAACACTATTTTTCTTTTCAATGTTCTGTGGCTCCGGAGGGTCGAAAGGTAGGCTTGCTAAAGCGGCGGGTGCAGAGCCATCTGGGTAAATGTGAGATCAAAAATTGCTCCCCGCTGTGGCGCGATGCACATTTGGAAGTCAAAACTCAAAACTGCGAAAAACGCCCCATGTTCGGAACACTTTTTCAAGTTGATGTCGAAAAGGTGTGCGCGGCTGCGATGTGAAGCACATTTTGACGTCACAACGTACAAACAAAACATTCTCGGAGAATTATTGGAAGTTGAGATGCTCAAAAAGTGCAAGGCTCGAAGCACATTCCGATGTCAAAATGCGCAAAACCACGTTCGGTGCACTTTTGGAAGTTGAGATGTCGAAAAGGTGCACACCGCTGTGGCGCGAAGAACATGATGACGTCAAAACCACCACATGTTCGGACCACTTTTGCAGGTTCAAATGTTGAAAAAGTCCGTTGTGGCGCGAAGCACGTTTCGAAGTCAAAATGCCACTGCAGAGGTTGAGATGTTGAAAAAGTGCACGCGGCTGTGGCGCAAAGCGCATTTCCAAGTCAAAACGCGCTACAACTACTACAACGACGACAGCTGCATGCAACTACAGCTACGCTAGACTACAGTAGGCTTCAACTAACTAGCCGCAGCCTACACTGCACTACAACATACTACAACTATACAACTACAACTTACTACAAATGCCAGTGCAACTGCAACAGCAACTGCAACTGCAACAACAGTGTGCTACATTAGGCTACAAATACGCTACACTACACTACATCTTACTACAACTGCAACTACATTACAACTGCAACCACAGCTGCAACTGCACTAGGCTACGCTACAACTACACCTACAAGTACAACTACACTATAATACAACTACAGCTACATTTGCACTACACTAGACTACAACTACACTACATTACGCTACACTACACTACACTAGAACTGTACCACAACGACAACTGCAACGACAACTAATTCTACACTGCGACTAAGAGAGGCTCAGAACCTCAGCCACCTTTCGATCCATCACATCATAAACTTCCGCCACCGCCTTGTGCGGTACTATTGGTAAAAACCGGGTTTATAAAACAAAAAATATATAACTGGGGCCCCCTTTTCAGTGATGATTTTATGTGATATTTGTGTTTCTAGTGTTCTTTTAGCGATTCTTATCAGGTTGTCGCACAGTTCCTGCCTCAACATGTTGCGGAGAAGACTTTGACGCATGGCCTTGACAAGCCGCTTGCGTCCCTAAGGGCTAACCTCAAACTTGACAGCTTCACGCCTTCAAGCCAGATGACGTTGGACTTTCTCCACAATGCACGCAAGGTATGCTACGTTGTTTGGTGAAACTCTAGGACACCTGTACGCTCCTGGTTACATAGGGTTGTCTCCTTCTGAACTTCGTGCTGTGAAGGCTTGCTTGGGCACGCAATATGAGCGGCTGCGACAGGGGCATGACATGGAACCAAAGCTGAGTGGATCCACTGGCGCAGCATCGACGGGGCCCAACGGTGGGCTAAAATCGTGGTGATCAGAATCGCCATTGAGTTTGTCCGAAATTTGGGCACTGCCAATTTCCAATAGTGACAGAGCATCATCATTTGCCCCATGAAAACTGGCACAGTTCGGGATACATTATGGGACCCAGCACTTCCAAAGGATAGGTTTACTGAGTGCGTTATCAGCACGCAGGACATGTTTGACTAAAGGCTACAATTTACCGATGTTCCAGGAAACTATGCAAAACAATATTGAGAACCATGTATTGACGATATTGACGTTTTTTTGTCACGCCCTTTTCACGGGTTTTTCACGGCCTTTTCAGGTTTAGTGCAAAAAAATGTAACTTCACAAAGGCTAAGTTAAACCATGTTAAACCTAGACGTTGTGACTGGAAGTTCTGGGGCCTGGGGGATAAGGAACCCCCCAAAAAACAAAAAAACACATATTTGAACGTATATTTCTCATAAAAAGGTGATAAATTGCAGTTTGATTTGCTTGATTCTTTTGGGGTGCTACACCCCATAGTGTGAAAACATGGACCAAACATGACCAAACCATTTCTCGGCCCAGGCAATTTCTCGGGATGCCGCCCTTGTCCATGAGAGGGCCGAACAGCAAGTTATTTGCCGGCAGACCCTTGTGTTCAGCCAGGTTCATGGAAACAAATGCAGGACCATCATAGCCGGTTTAACAGGTTGTATAATGTTATAAATATATATATATATACAATGGGCCGGGGATTGCTATAGTCACTATAGTCACTATAGTCTTACATTATGTATAAGTATCATCCCCAACCTTGGATGGGTAGTTTAATTCTTCTATAAGAACTTAAGTATATATTTATATATACACATATGCTGTGAACATAATCATCATAATCTGCACACAATTTTTCTGGACTACCAAAAATGTTCATGATATGACACTTGGGTTGAAAGATGCCGAGCGTTCAAAATTGGTAGTGTACTTAAATGGATTCCATGGTTACCCCTTCTTAGTTGGACAACTCGGCTCGGCTAAGAATGACCAACTGAGCATCGTCAACTACCTCCTGAATACACTTTAATTTGAGAAGAGTTGTGTCATATGACTGGGTTGCGCCAGTAAAACGGTGGGTTTCCTGACGTGGCGCAAGCACGCGTAAGCCACTTCTGCAAAACACCATGCGTAAGCTCTGGCGTAAGCCTTTCCATGCCTCTGGCGTAAGCAGGTCCTATGTGTTTTAAGTCAAACCTGTCACCGTAAGCTTCGCGTCAGTCATTTTATGTACATGCCTGCCGCGCATATAAGTCAAAACTGCGGTCGCGTAAGCATAGTGTGTAAGGTCTAGCGGTCTAGCGTAAGCAATGATATGCGACATAAGCTGGCAATCTCGCGTATCGGAGAAGCTCAACTTGAGAATGATTTTTAGTTTCCCGATGTTTGGAAAAATCCAGTATTTGTTGGGCAGAGTTTGGGTGCCATTTGTTTATTGGCCAACGCGTAGCGGTGCTGAAATACTGTGTGGAACATGAGTTTTCATTATCAATCTTTCTTTGGGATATGGAAGCGGGAGGCCTTCTTCGAAACATTCATGAACGTGCAATGTTGCAAGATGTTGCAAGCGCACTCATGAAGTCTACCAAAGATTTCAGTTGTTTCTTTTTTGGAGTTTGTTGACCTTGAAAACATGAATTGGTCACGCATTGTTGTCACAAGAACGGAGGTTGGTATATCGGTATGTAGTCCCAAGCTTGTGGTGTTCAGTGATGTTCAGCGAAGCGAGGCCAGGATCAGCGTATTATATATTTTGCTTGAAACTGTTCCCCACAAGAAAATGATGGTCAATAACGGTTAATAATTGCTCTATATTGCTCAATGTTCATGAATATTCATCATGAAACGATTGTTTTTGGTTCTCAATATTTATATATATATATATATTTATGTTTTCACACTGATATGCAACATAGCGAACATATATCATCATAATATATTATATATATATATATATTATAATATTTATAAATACGATCTTTTATGTTGGTGCTTCGGTGCGACTTCCCCTGAAACCTCGGTTCCCAAGGCAGTCCTCGATACCGAAGATCTCGCAAGCGATCGAAGAGACTTTGGAGCCCTCCTTCGATGAAGGACGGGACGGGACGCGGTGGACGCGGTTGGCCGAGGGGTCGGTTGGTTGGACTGGGGACATGGGATGACTGGTTATGTCTCTGGAGATTTTCATCCATTTTCTGGTATAAGTCCCCAATTCATGTTGGTATATGGCTAGCCGCAGCTAGCCAGCTAGCCCATCTAGTTTTTAGTTCGATATATCTGCCATGATTGGTGAAGTATTGGTTGTGTACACCAACTGTGATCAACATATTCTTATCATACACCCTTTAGTCTTGATCAACAATGTTCACCAACTTGGCCGATGGTTTCATCCGCTCCACCAGCTCCTGTTCGTTCGCGTGAAGGCGAGTCGATTGCGAGCCGGGAGATTCCGTAGCTTGGGAAGAAAAGCTCCGCGCGAGCCAAGTGAATCAGTGAATTGTGGTGGATGGGTGTAATATCTAGAATCTAGAAATTGATGGACATCTATAGGTTTTGATACGGCTGATAGCCATGAAAATTATAGGGTTGTATTGAGCTGATAGCCATGAAAATTATAGGGTTGTATAGAGCTGCTAGCCATGGAAATTATAGGGTTGTATAGAGCTGCTAGCCATGGAAATTATTGGGTTGTATTAGCCATGAAATTTATAGGGTTGTAAAGGGCTGATGGCTGATGGCCATGAAATTGATAGGGTTGTATAGGGCTGATAGCCATGCAATGTCTATGGTTTTTGTGGGGTTGATAGCTGGAATTGGTGGACAGTGAAAAATGGCTGACATGCCATGAACTATTTTTGAAAGCAAAAGAAAACATAGGATGTTCAATCTATATAAAATGAGATATCCATCAAGTATATCCCCCATTATGTAGTATACCGATTAGTGGCATGATCCTCTTTTGTGAAAGACAAATCACACATAATTCAGTCTTGGGTAATTGGAGGTGGGCCTCTATTGTGAAACAATGCTTCCTAGGTCCTAGACCCAGTTTTCAAGAGGCAAACATCAGGGCCAAAAAAGAAAACATGCAATATATACTTTCATCTTTGTAGGTCCAGTCCCTTCTTGGTCTACTTTTCCTTGAATAGTAAAGAAACAACTTTGTCCACCCTTCCTTTTGTATTATAGCTGCTATATCTTGATCACCCCAATCATCTTCAACCTGTCCCCAGGGAACAAACTTCCTTATTAAGACCCATAAAAAACAACAGCACCCAAACATGTTTTCAAGATGGTAGCCCATGAGTGGCTCAGATCCTCAACAATAGAATTGTTTGGATGGTACTCTATTCTGCTACTGCTAAGGCCCTTCTGGGGTTTGAAAACAAAGCAAAACCTGTTTATCCATTTTTCTTGGGTCAAGTTGTTACTTGTGAAGTCCTTACTTGTCCTTAGATTTCTTTTAGGTTTAACAGGAAAACTGATTGAAAATAAATTGATGTGAATCGAAATCCTTACTTATCCTTAGATTTCCTTGTGGTTTTAAGATGAACATCGTAGATTCAAATGAATTGAACCCGTACTAATCCTTAACAGTAGTTTCTTGTTGATTAAAAAAGGAACAAAGCAATTGAAAGTAGATTCAAGTGAAAGCAAATCCTTACTAATCCTGATTTTTGGTTAAGGTTCAAAAGGAACATTAATTGAAACTAGATTGGCATCAATTGAAATCCTTACTTCAGTTGATCATCCTGAGTTCCCCAGACCTGGTCCCTCCAAAATTGACTATTAAAGAGTCAGTATACCTGGTATACCTCAGTTGTTTGGGGGGGTCCTTTACACTAATCAGGATCCAACATCAACCCCAAGCGTTAACCAAGTGAACTGTGAGGAACTCTGCGTCAACTTTTAGCCATTTTGATGTTATATCCCCATGATGCCCTGATTCTATCCCGATTCATGCTTGGTTTTGATTCACTGAATGGTCTGGACCAAAAAAATCCACTATGTCACACTGAGCTGATTATATCATATTATATCCCAATCATTTCATTGGGGATCTTTTTTGGGAATGTGTTTATTCTGTTGGGTTCCTTTGGCTCCAAGTATCCCAATAATCCTACCGTTTGATGAAAGAATTTCCTAGGAAAAGTGATGGGTTTTCCACATCTTTGTATGTTTACCCTAGGGATCCCTACCCATTCAGATCCTCAGCATCTTTCCCATGGCCCAGGTCGCCCATGGACCTCAACGAGATCAGCATCACCAGTCGCTGGGGCTGTTTCCTCAAATAGGGCTACCCCACAATGGATGGTTTATGATGGAAAATATAATCAAAATAGATGATTTAGGGGCAACCTTCTTTATAGAAACTCCCATATGGTCTTATAATGTTCTAATGACTTGGGTGATTTTTGGGTTACCCCGATTGTAGAAAACCCCTTTTTTAAATAATGACATATGCCCTCTGGTAAATAAACATCGACCATGAAAATAACATATTTTAGTGGAAACTAATTGTCCGCCCCCTACCTAGCAGGGTCTATATTGAATTTCTGGAGGGTAATAACTGAAGATCTTTATATTATATATATATATGATATACAATTCGTGATATAATGAGGTACACTATATTCATACAATCCATTGCAAACACATATATATATATAATGTGATTTGGTTACCAATCCGCAGATTTTTTTTTTAGCTGTGCACTGTTGATGTCGATTTATCGGCCGCATTCGTCAGATCTCTCATGGACTCAGCTGGAGGACAATTTTATGCCATTTGTGACATGTCATGCCTTTTCTTCATGTGCAGCTACCTCCACCTCTAAAAAGATAGAACAGTGCTTCCAGGCTGCATAGGTGGTTATAATAGTTATCATATAATCAATTGGTTATACAGTTATACATGATATTTACCTATATTTGCCTTATATTTCCAGGTCTCCATTTCTTCGGCCTTTTTTGCTATTTGGGGACCTACTTGTGGATGAGGAGGATCACCATGAAAAAATGGTGGAAAATCCCATGGTGATGTCCACCCGGGTTGACGGGTTGACAAAGACAATGTCCACTTGCTTGGGTTTTGTACATAGACTATGACATAGATAGACAAGCAGACAGAGAAATAGATAGATAATTGATAATGATAGATAGATTTGTTCGATTCATTGATTGTTTGATTGTTCGTATGTTGCGTTTTGATTTGCCCTGCTTTTTTTTGATGAAGGACATAGAATTTTAGGTCATGAAAGGCGGGTATAACTATGTTGAAATAGGCCAAGATAAAGATACGTATTGTTAAACCACCACGGGGAAGGATGTAATCCATATGAAAAACGGGTGAAGATCTTTGCTAAAGGATCTCATGACAGTGGCCGTGGCCCGGATAATTCACCAGACCCTGATGCTGCTTGAAACCACTGCTGTTCCTCCACTGAGGAAACTCCTGGAGAAAGAAAACACCGTATTTGGGCACTCGCAAGGGGGGTTGGGGCGTCACTAAACCTTACAAAACTCAGTGGCAACAAAAGGAATGGTTTACGCCCCGGAAAACATAGATGCACCAAGATTCTTTGCGATTTCCCAAACAGTGTTTGTCCTTTTAGCAAACCCATTTTCGGGTTTCATGTGATTTTCGATGAGGGATGCACAATTCGGGCTTTAAATACGTGTATGCATTCGTATAATCTAAGTGATAGATGTTCTTTTCTAACAAGGCGGGCCCCACAGAGACGGTGACATGTTATGTTATGACCCAAAGTCTTTGGCTCCCTATGATTTTTAGGTGTGATTTCAGTGATATTTGTCCAGCCCATTTGCCCTTTTTGCTTTATGATGCTTATGTATGGTATGTTATTAATTACATTTGCCCGTGATTGTTTTTTTGGTGGAGCAAGGTCAGGCATAGTAAGATTTTCTCCACATTGGGGCCCCTGTCCTCCAATTTCCAGCTGGTGAAGGCCCATACTTGCGATGTCACGTGGTTTCCTGCACCATTTCCTGGGAAAACTCATGAAAACATCAAGTTCCAGTTGTAAATGGCTATAACCAGGGTCACAAACCGATGACTATTGAAAGAAAAACAGGTCAAAATGGTCTAAAATGGCTGAATAAATCTAGCATTGCTAAAATCATCAGGATGCCATGGGGCATGTGGGTTCATGCTCATGCGGCACTCCTAAAGTCCTAAAGCTGCTTCGAGGTTTATCAAAGCCTCCGATCTGGCGGATCTGCAGGTGCTCTCCTCTGTGCGATTGGATGGTGATGGGGCAAAAGGATGTGTCGAACATTGACCATTTGAAATGGGAAAAATATGCGAAAAATCTGTAGATAACACCAGATCCCCATGATTTCTTGGAGATTTATCCAAATGATGTGTGTATGACGGTGGCTCATAGGGGCACATTGCTGAAGACCTTGAAAATGGTCTCGGCCTTCGACTCGGTGGGATGTATGCTGATGGCCATCTAGTCCGGAGTGTGGCGGTCACCAAGTGTGTGATACTGGCCTTAGTAAGTCATTAAGATGACGATCCCAGTTGAATCCAAATGATATGTTTGATAACTGTCACCAAGTGTATATATATATATATACAATTATATATATATATGTATATATTTACATATTTTTATAATTATTATTTACGTGTATATATGTTAACATATATATATATATATGTTAACACACACACATATATGTTAACATTTACATATATATATATATAAATATATGTTAACATTTACATATATATATATATGTTAACACATATATATACACAGTAAGATATGTATATGTATATGTATATGTATATGTATATGTATATGTATATGTATATATGTATATGTATATATGTATATATGTATGACAGTGGCCTTCGGATGATGATCTAAAAAATGATCTCTTTGATATATTTGTTTTTTTGTTCCCGGTAGAGTTGAAGCCACCAAGCAGAGAAATTCTCCGTTGGTTGCTGGGATGGGAGGCCTCAGTGGAAACGTTGCCCGGGGGGTTGACAGCTTAGCGCCAAAATCAGAAATACATAGCTAAGTTTTACTCGGCACTGAAATATAGTAATCTGAAATATTGAACATGGTAATCTGAAATAGTGCATGTGAAACCTGTGTGTCCAGTCGCGAATTGTATTTTGTTCATATGATTCATACATGACTATATACATAATGATAACCTAATTGTCCGATCCGGATCGGTTCCATTTGAAATTTGGAGGTCCATGAAACCCGTTGCAGCAACTGTTGCCCAGGTCCCCCCCAGCTGATTTGCAGGTGAACAAACCATGATTTGTCGAATTAATTTAAGGCTGAAATTCATGACCCATCAATTTTGCCCGCGTCATCCCAATGTTTGGAATTCCAAGTTGATAGATTACTGTTCTCTTAACGGGCAACTCTTGTTTTGCTGGATTGGTAGGGAAAATCTTAACCGTAAACCATGGATTTTCCCATGAAATATGAAGCTTTCCTGTAATTTTTACCAACCTTTCCATTGATGTGCTGCGTACCCTTACCCGGTAGACGACGGTTGAAGCCTGGCGGCGCTTCGTCGCAGTCGGAGTATGGGAGCGAGAGTTCAGTCACCGACCCAACTACTCTGCAACAAGGAGGCTCCCCCAAGGGGGGCGGTCGGGTGAAATCCCTCATGATGGGTGTGGGTCCAACAAAGTGACGGATATGTTTTGAAAGGATTGATGTGGGCCAAAGTGGAACCATCCAAATTTATCCAATTTTAGGGGCAGCTGGCTGTAACTTATACCTTCATACGTTTTATTTTCTGCCATAGGTGCCTTCAAACCCTCTTTAAGATGATGATTCACATTAATTCACCGGCATACTGTTGTTTTAAGGGGTGTTAAAACCACTAACCAGATATATTGCAATGAACACAGGTTCGGAAGTCCTGCGTGACGTCCATGTCCCAAGTTGTTATTCTGTAAGCTTACTGGCAAGGCTTTCATATTTAGGACTTTGAAGGCGCTGGATTCCATTATGAAACAGTTGACCAAGGCGACCACGGAACCTTACCTGTTGACACTCACCGCCAGACATTGACCAGCCTAGTTTTGTTGATCACCTTTTTCTTAGCAGCAAAATCATCCCTGAAAAGCAATGGCAAATCCTGTCATGTGGTAAACCCAGGTAGTGAACCATCTCCAACTGCATTTGTCCAACTGTTCGTATACCCTTATTTGGATGATTTATAGCTTCCTTTCATGGTGGCATGGATTTCAGACCCCTTCCCGAGTCCTGGACAGGCCCAGGAATGCGTTTGTCGAAAGGAGTCTTGACTGCGAGACTATCTTTTGTAGCCTTGGGAATGCGATAAAAACAGGATTTAAACGGATTTATAGTTGATTTGTGATAGCTAAGTTGGCTTACAACTAGCTGAATTCTATGATTCATGGAAGATATCACAATTTATATTGATGGATGTAAAAACCAACTTACAACCTGCAAGAATGTCCTACCTCAAAATAAATAGATCCAATCCAACAGTTATGAACAGTTGGAGACCTCAACATTTTGGCAAATATATTTTGTAAATCCCCCCCTTTAACCCTGGAATATTTGAGGGTGGGTAAGGCAAGAAATTTCTGAGAAATATTTCACCTGACCACGTGAAATATCCACCCGGTAGGGGGGGTCCTCCGGATGCCAGACTTTAGCCTAGATATGTCAATTGGATACACATGGATCAAAAAGCAAACCGTGCATCACCTCTACGAACTCCTGCCCCACTCCTGCCCCTGGCCTTTGAAGATACTCAGAAACGGAATCCTACTGCTGCAATGGAATTACTGGGGGGGCTGGCTTCTAGAGCTGTAAAATACCATGGTTTTGCACCTCCCCCTTCAAAAAAAATCACCAGCAAAGCTTGGGGAGAGAAAAAAACATGAAATTGCATGCTTCAGCCGGTTTGCACGTACCTGCCCACATCCACAGGTGCCTTGTCATGCATAACTGACAGCGCTAAGATTTTCCATTGCCTTATTCTACCGTATATATCCGTATATAAATCAGAAATTTCTAGCTGAAATATTTTTAGGTGTAGGAGGGTGGTAACCCCCCCAAATTTGAAATTTCAGTGCTTAACCCCCCACCACCACCCCCCCTTAAGGGGGGATATTTGTACAATCCCGTGTGTTTTTTTTCTTTTTTGTGTGTGTCGTGTTTTTTTTGCTTTTTTTTTGGGGGGGAGGGGGCGGTTGTATTCAACACATATCTTTGAATTAATTGTTAATGGATGTTGTGTTTGCATGGCATCAAGGGCTACTGACTACTGTGAGTATTTGTGCTCCCTGGAAAAAGTGATTTTGCCACCTTTCTTACCCCTGAAATGATTTTCCGACGCCTCTGTGGAATGAAGATCTTCAAGTTATGGACTTTTGGTGGATGAGTAGAAGCCACACATGAGACTTTTGACATCAAAAGTGGTTCGACGTGTTTCGACTGCATGTTCTATGTGGATCATGATGATCATAGACTTTGCGTTCAGAAAAATCATGTGAGAGAGTGACAATGTGTTACATGTTCGGTCACTTTGGAGTGTTCTGGGTAAAGGAGGATGATGCAACATATCTATTGTGCCAATAAGAAATCACAACATGTTGAGTTCGCAGTCCACTCGCAAACTGATCATATGGCATAAACCGACTTGAACAGCATGCCAGGAATTCAGTATGAATTGTTCTTTCGTTTGAAGAGATCTAGTGGATCTTTCGAAGTGCCGAGGAGTTAGGAAAAACATCACAGGAAACCCCCATGTGATGGGAAAAAACCGGTTTCCGGCAAATTTTTCCGTAAACAAATCCAGTGATAAGTGGTTCACATCCATTGGGTACTTTTCACCCGATGCAAATGTCAGCTTGACGAGTGGTATTTTTGACGAAGTCAAAAGCTCTTTGGGCACAATTGGTATGAATGCTGCTTGATGATGTTTCATAGTGTCATGATAGCAGGCATATTGGTTTGAAGTATTGTGTCCTCAGTCTGTTTCTTGCCCACCCAATGACCTTTTTGGAGCAGATTTGGCTTGCATCCATTTTTTTACCTTTGAACAAACGTTTATTTAATTAATTATCATGTTTGTGGAGTCGAAAAGCTCTTAGTAGCCGCGTGGCTCGCCATTGGGGAATATGGATACAACCATAGCTCAGCTCCCTTCACTGCTCCCTCATACACCACCGGACGGTTCTGAAAATTTCCAAGTAGCACTTTGAACTAGTTATATGAATATGTTTCATATGTATATATATATATGTATATAGTGTGCGTGTGTGTGTTTATATTCTTACAGTTATTTTATACATAACAATATTTAACGCCTACCTCAGCTCCCCAACTTGACCGCAAGGATAGGTAAGGCAGTAAGGATAGGTCAGGCAGCCGTCAGCCGGGCACTTTTTCTAAGGCTCGCTGCAGTCCAGCGCGCTGCACTCCAGCGAAACGGAGGCAGGAATCGTTGTCCACAGTTCTACTTTACGGATGTGGCAACTGGGTTAGCCGTAGTAACAAACCAAAGGTTGAATTTCTTACAAACATGATAATAATGATGGTAATATATATATATATATGTAGCAGTGACAACCATCGGTCCAAAAAGATTATAACGGTACCAGTGGTCATAATTACAATGAATTGGACATCACATTGGTAACCCTGATACGGTGGATGGTTGCGAAATCCGAATCGCCAGTTGATAGGTGGTTTCAACATCCCATTACTTATAGGGTTTCAACATGTTTCAACGATCCCAAGCTTGGTGACTAGTGGATTTCGCTGGCCCATCCACCCGTCATCGCGCCGCAGGGCATGGAGGTCATCAGCACAGGACGGGTGCAGACTCGGTATATGCTTTACCCTCTGGTAATGACATACAAATAGCTATTGAAAATGGCTATTGATAATATTGATAGTTGATTTACCCACTAAAAAATGGTGGATCTTTCAACAGCTATGTTAGTCATTACCAGAGGGTATATGGTTTATCTTCATCCATGCCATGTGGGTAAAACATGGTAAAACAATGCCATGTGAAACCCACCCATGACTGGGAATGGTACAGTAATTGGAATTATACCTATAAAAATGCTGATGACTGGGGGATGGTTTATGACATTGATTTACCCACATCATAGACGATTCTTATAATGAGTATAGTATGGTAGTTTTCCCTATTAGTAGATTGAAGACCATCCCCCAATTATTACGGATATATCATCCATTTTTTTGACGATGGCACATATGGGCATGGATCAAAAAAAACATTATACATGTATATATATATATCGTATCTTTGTGGTTCAAGATCCATTTGCCCGCATTTTTTTGTGTTCACCAGGTTATTACTGTAGAGTTTTCACCCATTGCCTTTTGACTATGTGACTATATGTACCAATGAAGTGCATGCAATGTAGGGTAAGGTACAGCAAGATAAGGTAGTATTTTCCTGAAAATATCCATACGTGGTCATGTAGTAGAGTTTATAGTAGTACATAGATGTGTTTTTGTGTTTATCGATCCATCTAATCCAATCAAACCAAATCAAAGCTAAATCTCATAAAATCATCCCCCTTGACTGTACCTGTATGGAATGGAAGAACCCACTCCCCGTATGAAATGGAAAAACCAACGTCATTTCATACACGGCCCATCTTGGAAAACGGGGCAAAAAACCCTTAAATTTTGGTGCCATGTTGCACCCCTCCATTTCATACGAAACGATGGTAATTCCATTGTATACAGCTGCATTTTTCTTTGGAATCATTAGTCCCAAAATCGGCATTTCCATAATATAAATGTTGTTTGCTTTACTGTTTTTAATCATTCTTATGTGGTCCTGGAATACGGCTACCATAATATACAAGTAATAAGGTAGGATGGAGAAACGTTAAAACTTAATCAGTGTTGATGTATCAATTATGTAGCCTTCGATTTCATACAACATACATATCACTAGCTGCCTTTGTGATCCATTTCATTAAAAAAACAAAAACATAAACATATTAAAACATGAAATGATTTAAGTCGATGTCACGACGTCCCCCCCTGCGGTATTTTTTGCATGGCATTGGCTCAGTTATGCTCCTGCGGGGCACATTTCTGTGCCATAATTTTATCTTAGAATATCTTAAGATACCTTAAAATGACCCCCTCAAAAAACAACCAATTCCATAATATACAAGTCAAATTTTCTTGGTTTCAAGAGTTCATTTTTTTGCCATTTCCATAACATACTGGCGAAGCATTTCTTTGCATATCCGGCCTGCTAGGTAGTACAATGGTGGTATTCCATAATATATAAGCCCAAAAAAGGATCCATTCTATACAAATATTACTGGACCCAACCATTACATAAACCAGTTTTTTATGGAATGGTGGGGCACGGGTTCCTACCCATCAATCAAGGGGGATATATAATCTAATCTAGTCATCTAGTCTAACCTATCGATCTGCAGATCACACGTTTTTTTTTACATGTTCACCCTATGTGCACGCCTTTCTCGTCATGTCTGTAGGAGAGACCGCCAGCGCTGAGAGCGGTGCGCAAAATCCACAGCTGCTGCAGGTCCATCGGAGCTCGGTGAAAGCCTGGGAGATGGGGATGTGAATCCAAACCACCAAGCACTGATATGATATAAACACATATATATATATATTATACATATGTGCTTCTAGACATATTTCAGATAATATGGTTTCCTGTAATGGGGGTACTTGCGGTCATCATCCATTTTTGGGATTTCCATGAAATAAAGCATCTATTTTGGGGTACCCCCATTTATGGAAACCCCCATATGATATACATATTTTTTGGCCAGTCGATTTATTGAGTCTATCATTGTGTCAGTCTTGAAGATTTGTGCGCCAAATCACAACGGTCTGCTTGGAAAAGGAACATCGTTTTTTTCACTTTTTCTATCTTTTCCTCGTGCTTTTTTTCCCGAGAGCGTCTGAGCGCAGGGTTCTCCCAATAGTGGGGGTCTGTATCTCATCTTCTCATCTTCAATCTTCTCATCTTCACACCTTCTCATCTTCATATCTTCTACCCTTCACATCTTCTCATCTTCACACCTTCTCATCTTCACGCTTGCTCACTTCACACCTTCTCATCTTCACATCTTCTCATCTTCACATCTTCTCACTTCACATCTTCTCACTTCACATCTTCCCATCTTCACATCTCATCTTCACACTGTCACACCTTCTCATCTTCACATCTGCTCATCTTCACATCTTCTCATCTTCAAATATTCTCATCTTCACATCTTCTCATCTTCACATCTGCTCATCTTCACATCTTCACATCTGCTCATCTTCACATCTTCTCATCCTCACATCTTCACATCTTCACATCCTCACATCTTCACATCTTCTCCTCTTGCCCTCTTGCCCTCTTGCCCTCTTTGCCCTCTCCTTCTTTTCTATTTCTCTTCTGAAGGCGGGGGCAGGGGCAGTGCCAACGAGACGGCACGAAACGCAACCCTTTCGCACGAAACGAGGTTCGATTGTCAAAAACTGAAGGAAAATTGCGATTTCAACTTGTCCCGCGGTCCCGCGCAACCCTTTCGCACGAAACGAGGTTCGATCGTCAAAAACTGAGGTAAAATTGCGATTTCCGGGTTCCCGTTGCAAACCTTTCGCACGAAATGAGGGTCGATCGCCAAAAACTGAGGTAAAAGTGCGAGTTCAAGTCGTCCCGCGCAACATTTTCGCCCGAAATGAGGTTCTATCGTCAAAAGCTGAGGTAAAATTGCGATTTCCGGGTTCCCGTTGCAACCCTTTCGCACGAAATGAGGGTCGATCGCCAAAAACTGAGGTAAAAGTGCGAGTTCAAGTCGTCCCGCGCAACCCTTTCGCACAAAATGAGGCTCGATCGTCAAAAACTGAGGGAAAATTGCGATTTCAACTTGTCCCGCGCAACCCTTCCGCACGAAACGAGGTTCGATTGTCAAAAACTGAGGTAAAATTGTGATTTTTTCTGTGTGTACAAAGCTTCTGTGTGCTGTGCGTCAAAGCTTCTATGTGTAAAAGCATCTGTGTGTAAAAGCCTCTGTGATGTAAAAGCGTCTCTGTGTAAAAGCGTCTGTGTGCAAAAGCGTCTGTGTGTAAAAGCGTCTGTGTGTAAAAGCGTCTGTGTGTAAAAGTGTCTGTGTGTAAAAGCGTCTGTGTAAAAGCGTCTGTGTAAAAGCGTCTGCTTAAAAGCGTCTGTGTAAAAGCGTCTGCTTAAAAGCTTCTGCGTGCTCTGTGTAAAAGCGTCTGTGTGTAAAAGTGTCTGTGTGTAAAAGTGTCTGTGTGTAAAAGCTTCTGTGTGTAAAGCGTCTGTGTAAAAAGAGTCTGTGTAAAAGCTTCTGTGTGTGAAATCTTCTGTGTGTAAAAGCCTCTGTGTGTAAAAGCTTCTGTGTGTAAAAGCCTCTGTGTGTAAAAGCCTCTGTGTGTAAAAGTGTCCGTGTGTAAAAGCGTCTATGTGTAAAAGCTTCTTCTGCGTGTAAAAGCTTTTGTGTGTAAAAGCGTCTGCGTGTAAACGCTTCTGTGTGTAAAAGCTCCTATGTGCAAAAGGGTTTGTGTTAAAAGTGTCTGTGTGTAAAAGCGTCTGCGTGTAAAAGTGTCTGTGTGTAAAAGCGTCTGAGTAAAAGCGTCTGTGTGTAAAAGCTTCTGTCTGTAAAAGCTTCTGTGGGTAAAAGCTTTGTGTGCAAAAGCGTCTGTGTAAAAGCAACTGTGTGTAAAAGCGTCTGTATGTAAAACTGTCTGTATGTAAAAGCGCCTGTGTGTAAAAGTGTCTGTGTGTAAAAGTGCCTTGTGTGTAAAAGCGTCTGTGTGTAAAAGTGTCCGTGTGTAAAAGCGCCTGTCTGTAAAAGCTTCTCTGTGTAAGGGGTTCTCTGTGTAAAAGCTTGATGCAAACTGTTGTCTTGTACTTATGCTATATCGTCTTGATACTTTTCTTTTCGACTGCGTATAACACATCTTTAACATATTGTTTTGTAACATGGTGTCTCCATACTAACAAGAGAAGACCCTGCTCCTCTACGCTCTCGGGCCATCCGTTGTCTAGTGGTGCCCTTATGGTCCTCACTCTTACAGCGAATGGGCGGTACACAAAAATATGTATATAATAATTGTATTCTATTATTTAACAATATGTATATATATATATACACATAGGTTTGCTATATGTGTGCGCATTTATCCAAGCAATATCTAATATTATCTCATCTTATATATATATTTGTAGGCATAGATTAGATAGATATGTTTGAAGGTTTTGAAGAATGTAACCATGGGAAATCTGCAATGACAGACGGTCAGATATTTATGGGAAGATTGTGGCAATTTTTTGAGGATCAATGGGGATTTTAGTACGGAAGATGGGTTCAGTTAACTTGGCAAAATTGTGGATTCATTGGCTCATTGGCTCTATATCTATGCCATGTACCATGTACAAAGACATAAATTTGATATTCATGAGGTACTGCAAACCCCAGTGTAATTTTTCCCATAGTTTTTTTTCCAGCATTCTAATGTCTCTTAGCCTTTTCCCATAGTATATATATATGTCCCATACATTTGCCCCAATTTATTTAACTTTTACCATAGGTATCCCCACTTGTGTTTTTGCCTAAGCACCTTCCCCCGCGCTATGGGAGGTGATCACAGACCAGCCTAGTGAGAACGCCTCATCGCCGAGCTCATGCCGAGAGGCCGGAGTCCGCGGGGAACGTGGAGCCCACCAGTGATGTTTGTGGCCATATAGTTCTGGGTCAATTTGATCACGACCGAAGCTTCTTCTCCCGAAACCTGGAATCATGGTTAAGGAGAATCATCCCCTTAAAGGAGGCCGCAAGATTCAGGTTAGTGAAATATTACTTCATTTACCCGGATAGTTGTGAAACAAACCAACTATAGTTTCCAATAACTAAGTGCCCGCCAGTTACAACTAAGTCGCTTTTTCAAACCTATGAAAAAATGATAAAAAATGGATCTACAGTATCTACCACAAAGCATACTTCTTAGTAATAATCCAACATATTATATGGTTCTTGTGTGAGTCGATGACCCCGGTGGTTGTCAGGGACATCTCATGAGGTTATATGAAATGAGGTAGGCAACACTTGTTTTTTTTTCCAAATGATGCTCCAGTGTAGAATCGCCATGACATTATGTGTCTATTTTTCTTTCAAGTATATAGAATCTATAGAATATTGGCGTTTAGCCTGAAACTGAGGCAACAAACAAGCTTCCGTTTTTTTTTGTGCTAGTTGCAACTAGTCACTACTTCGGGGCTTATAGACTTATAGACCTTAAAACTATGAGAGGAGGAGGAGGAAGAGAAGAGTAAAATTAGTTTGTTGAACGCATCCACCTTCCTGGTTAAGGTAATGACCAGATACTTTCCAGCAAAATGGTTTTGGAAGATAATGTTCCATTTGCGCATAGTGAGATGATGTGTGCTATCATGTTGTGTTTATGTTTTTTTTACGCATGTTTTTTTAAACCTACAAACTCTCCATATGTAGAGGTTTTCCATAAGTGGCCCCAAAATCATCCATTTTAATAGGTTTTTTTTCCATAAACTATCCTTATAAACCATCCAGCTATTGGGGTACCCCCATGACTATGGATAGCCACTTGCAGGTCAAGGAGGGGTCTCTTCCGAGCTCCATGCAGCCTGGTTTGAAGACCTGCTGGGCCTTTTCCCCCGCCCTTGGCAGTTTGAGATGTATAAATACATGTTTCCCTTAAATAAATATATATATATATATATAATTATAATGACTGTATGCTGGTATTTTGGGTGAATTCTAATGGAAAGTCATCTGTAAGTGGAGGTTTGAATGGAAAAAATATCGATCCATGGAGCATACCCTCCGGCTATTTCATATAGCGAAATGGAAAATCACCAATTTGATTCCATTAGAGGCTCTCTCTCTCCCTCTCTCTCTCTCTATATATATATATATATACATTGTATACTGTTATCGGGAGGAATTGTACTCGAATGATGGCTAGTATGCGGGGAATCATCCCCTTTTATAGCCTTGTTTCACCTTTGCGGGGAGGCCGGCCAAAGGGAAGATCAGTGGCCTTGTTTCACCTATTCTCAGGTCCCAGGTCAGTGAATTGTTATAATTATATATAAATATGCATATGGTATGTGGACCTTTTGCGAATATTTATTTTTAAAATTTAAATTGTTCATTGAAGTTTCCTATTCCTGGCAGATGTATATAGAATATATATATATACACTGTGCCTATGATATTATATTATGTGTATATATATATAGGATATAGAACAGTGCGCCGGTTGCAGCTGAATTTTGTCCGGTCAGCAACTTGATATCCCCCAAGTCTCGCTGCGCTGATCCAGTGGTCCAGGATCCCTCAAGGTGGAGTTTCCTAAGTCATGGGGAAACAACCCCCCCGAAAAAATCCTACTCATTAGATCTTTGAGTATTGAAACCCATGGTGACTTGGGGATCCCCCATGACTTAGGAAACACCACAAAAAGATTTCACACATCATTTGAAATGGTGGTGGACTCTTTACAGGCGATGACTCATGTGACTCACGTCATTGAAGTGATTGTTGCTAGTTGCCACGTGGCTAATTAGTTGTTCACCCCAGATGGCAACCCGTGTAAGCTGAGCAGGCTTAGTCGCTTAGTCCAAGCAATTAGGGTGAACTAAGCCACTTATCATTGGATTGGTTTAAAGGAAAATCTACAGGAAACCATGGATTTTTCCTATGAAATATGGGGTTTTCCTGCAAAATTTCCCTTAAACCAATCCAATGAACTTAGATCCATCTGCTCCGCCATTGATATCACAGCTGTGGATCGTTCCCAAGCCGCGCCGAGGTCCCCGCAGATGAAACGCTTGCAATCGGTACCTCGGAGCCAGTGAACCACTTGGAATGATCGCTGGCTGAAAACTAGACACACCCGCTTTGTACAAGACAACGAATGACATTTACCATACATCCCCCCAAAAAACAACAATAATGATGTAATAATATGTAATATATTATAATATATTATATTATATTATACTATATTGTTTTATGTTATATTATATTGTATAGTATTTATTTTATTATATTATATAATGTATTTTTTTATATTATATCATATTATATTATATTGTATTATATTTTCTTATATTATATTATATTATATCATATTAAAATATATTGTATTATATTATATTATATTGTATAGTATTTATTTTTATAATATATTATAATATATATATATATATATTATTATATTATATCATATTATATTATATTGTATTACTTTAAAAATATTTTATATCATATCATTTTATATTATATCATATTATTTTAAATTATATTATATTATATTTTATTATTGTGTATAGTATTTATTTTATTATATCATATTATATTATATATATATATTTTTATCTAAGACTTGTCGACGTCCTTTTGGTGTAGAGTGAGGACGGATTTGAGATCGGGTCAACTTGGCCAACTTGTCCATCGGAAGAGAAGCCATGCCTTCCCTCACTTACTGCCATCATCCGAGGGACAGGAGTCAATGATAAGAAGCCGCAGGCGCAAAGCTGCAACCTGGTGTGAGGTGAATGATGGTGAGATGGTGGGTTTCGGCCCATTTTTCTTGTGAAAAGGTGGCTGATTTGGTCCCCCAATCATGTCTGAAAAAAAACGGACTCCTAGAATTGCATTTAGAATTCTTGAATTGAGCTATACTCAGTGCTATGCACCGTGACGCCGGTTGTGGTTGCGACATTTAAATACATTTAAACCATCAGATTGAGTCTGTGACTGTCTGTGACTCTGCCGTACTCCGCCTATGCCTCTCAGACAATGGCGGGCTGGGGAAAAACTAAGGAGGCAACATCCCCACTCATCTTGTCAGTTTGTTATTTGTGCTTGTGCATTGGGTTAAACCTTGGGCGCCAATGGACCAAGGGACCAAGGGAGTTGGTTATTTTGGTATTGTAGTAAACCACCTATTGTTTGAGGCCGATATGATTTCCATGCTGCAATTTTTCCAGGTGTGTTAAATTGACCTTCACACTTTGGGCGGTTTGGCTGGTCGGCGTTGGTGCGGCCAACTTCGGCAAATTTCAGATTTCTCTTCCCTCGGAAGATGATTTAAACAGTCTAGACTGACCTGGGATCTTCAAAAACATTCTGGTTCAGGAGATCTCTGAAAGTCCAACCTGTAGGATGTAAGATCCAGAGGTGAACAACCCATTGCCGGTGAATTGTTTGCCGTCGACCGCTTGACCCCTGTTGAGAGGACCTCAGCGGATTGGGATTAGAATCCCTTCCTCCAATAGCAAAATACGTCCTTAAATATTGAAAGAACGGTCCAAATACCCAAATTTCAGGAAAAAATAGGTTGATCAATTCGAATTATGAATCTCATCCCCCATTCATATTGAACACTCCCCACATAGGGAAATTCCACATCATTGGGACTGGTTGATCCCCTTCAGTCGCAGCAGGTCCAGTGCGCGCCTCACACGTTTGCAGCGACTGGTGCACAGTCAGGCGATTGGACGGTTGGATGAGGAGTTTGGATGTCAAACTTTACATTTTGCTTTTTTTGCAACATGTAGGGTGTTCTAATTCTTTAGGGGTTTACGGTATTTGACCGGGGTTCTGTATGTTTTTGACACTTTGTGACTTTACCGGAATAATGGTGCGTAGAGAAAACCTCTTCAATAATCAATCACCTTTCTGCTTTATTGCAGTTAACATAATCAAACCAAACAGACAGATGGCAAACAAAGCACAAGACAAGCGATGATGAGTGTTTGAATATATATATATATATAATTATATGTGTGTTTGTGTGTGTAAGTGTGTAATTATTCGCATATTTCTGAGGTCACTCGAACATGGCAAGAGAAACTGTTTTCCGGTAAGGCATCCCTCGATCTAATAGGTCCACTGAATTGGACATGTTGATCACGTTGAGCGTCGGACTTGGTGCTAAGGATGGATTTTGGAGTCCATGAATGGTAGCAGTATCTCCAGTCAACTAATATATATATATATATATAGCTAATATGGAAAATGGCCCATTTGGAGATGATTTACCTGTAAGAATTGTGATTTTCAATGGTTATGTTAGTTGAACCGGAGTGTAAGTGGCTTTATTGTAGCAGCATTTATTATGAGCTATATCCCCAGCTCTGAGTAGGTGGTGCCCATCCAGAATAGTCCATCCAGGGAACTTCAGGCCATGAGAATGTGAACACACAGCCTGGATGGAGAAACCTCGTAAGGCAGGGGAATGTGGTAAAACCAGTGTTAACTGGTTGGTGGTTTGGAACATTTTTCATTTTCCATATATATATATATTGGGAATAGTAACCCCAACTGACCCAACTGACTAACTCATATTTGTCAGAGGGGTATGTCAACCACCAGATAAACACCAATAAACCTCCAATTTTGGAGCTTCACGGCTTCGCAGTTCTTCGACATTTCCTTCAGCGTGCTGATCATGGTCAATTGCGCGACGTTTCTTGGCGTCCACGGGATCCCCGTTAGGTGAGTTGCAATGAAAATATGGGCCCACGGAATATGTTGGAATAATACATATATATATATACATAAAAATATTTTGTGTGAAATATATATGATATATTATATGATGGATATATATGTGTATATATATATATATATATTGTTCCGCTGGGTGATAAGTTCATATCAATAATACACAACCACTAGAAGTTAAACTTCTAGCGGAGCTTTGAACCAGCGTCAATTTTAGATCAAAGTTGGGTACAGAGGGTGTATCATCAATGACTTTGGATTCTGAGTAAAGATGCAGATGAGCAGTGTGATCCTTGAACTGTGGATTGTAACTGGCACCGTTCTTGCGGTTCAGCTCATTTCTTGAACTTCCACTGTCAGGAACGATAGCCGATCCCATCCCTTTGGCTGCAGCTTAGCATGCCTCCGCTGCGACAACGGAAACACAACACTCCGGCTAGATGTGATATAGATACATAGATACATAGATAGATAGATAGATAGATAGAGATAGATAGATAGATAGGTAGGTAGATAGATAGATAGGTAGATAGATAGATAGATATGTAGAACCCCCAAAAAAGATCGAACCCCTTCACGGACCACCAGAATATATGTTTGGTTCTGTTGGGTATTGAGATTGATGTCACCGATTAATGGTCACCATCCCCCATAGAGGTTTATAAAATTGGGTATCCCGCTATATGTTTGTTTCTGTTGGGTATTGAGAGTGATGTCACCGATTAATGGTCACCATCCCCCATAGAGGTTTATGAAATTGGGTATCCCGCTATACCCTTACGACTGAGACAATTCAAAGGACTCCCACTCATGGTTGGTTAATGGTAAGGTTTTATGGCAATTGGGTTCACCACGTTGTTTGTTTTTAGTTGCTGATTGCTCCTCAGCAGCTACATATGTCTCATCAGGAGATGTCAAGATCCAATTCTAGCAATGATGATACATTATCTTACACTAGTTTACATTAATTTCATTACATTAATTACATTACATTATATATATATTACACTTACATTACATTGCATTATATTGCGTTACATTGCATGGCATTGAATCACATCGCAGTGCATTGCAATACACTACATTACATTACACTGTAAAACATTGCATTGTATTACATCACACGCATATTCACAGCAAGTCGCAGATGTATGTATATAAATACATACAGAAATGCACGCATGTGTACATTGCATGCATATGAATATATAATATAATATGATATAATAAAATATGATATAATACAATTTAATACAATATAATATAAATTAAAATATAATAAAATATAATATAACAGTAAATAGTTTATTAAATTATGTAATATTTATTAATTATAATGTAATATATTTATATATATATAGAAGTGTATATATATATAAAGAAATGTATATATATATATGTATATATATATATATATGTAAATATATATATATATATATGTAAATGTATATATATATAAATATATATATACATGTAAATATATATATATATATATGTAAATATATATATATGTAAATATATATATATTTATGTATATGTATATATATATAGATATTTATGTATGTATGTATATATATATTTATGTATATATGTTTATATATATATTTATGTATATATGTATATATATATATATGTATCTATTGGTGACATTTACAAATGCATATACAAAGTGTTATCTACAACATATTGATATATCATTTTCTCTCGCAAACAAAGGATTTCCCATTTTTTGTATTTCATGTTTTTTGTCGCCTCAGGATGGGAATGCAGGCGGATTCACTGGTCAATGTGCCCCGGCGTAGCGCTGGGTGTTTGGCAGATGAGTTTCAACTACTTGGATTTACCATATATGTGATTTTTCCAAAGGAAATTCCATTACTTGGGAATCTATACAGAATAAATGTTAGTAAAGCAATAGTAAACCATCCCCAATTTTACCATGCATGGGTGGTATAGACCATCAAAATATGTGCTGTTTATTTGTGCTTTTCTAACATTACTGTAGATTTCGGGGGGGGGGTCCTGAAGCAAATCCGAGACTTAACATTGGCTTTGATTTCAGGCAACAGAAACAGAACTGCAAAAAAAATGGATGTAAAAACAATTTTTAGGTTGCTTGTGAGGCACTGGTGTGCATGCAGAAAAAAGAATGGATGTAACAACAATTTTTACCATCTGCAGAGGGTGAGAATGCCGAGCCGGGCTGGGATGAGCTGGGTTTATGGAGATTATGGAGTTAGGGGTGGAGTGATGTGTAAGGTAAATATATATATATATATAAGTATGTTTTTTGCAGAATCGTTGTCAACCTGTTTTAATTACCTTTGTGTGTCAATTGCTGCGCTTGCTGCATGTTTTTTAAGACAAAACTGGAAAATATTGCACTCTCATGTGACTGCCGGTACTGAGGAACCTAGTTTTCCACCCCAAAGAGATAGAATTGTAAACTCGTGCTACTTACTATATAAATATAAATGTGTCGTAAAGTACATTCGCCCAAATCCGAGGGCGACATTCCACCCTTCTGAGTGGCACATTTTTCAGGATATATTGGGAATTACTATCTTGATGGACCATCAATATATATATACCGTTAAAAACAAAGTTAGAATGCGGTTTTGGCTTCGCGTGATGGTGGCCCGTTTGGCCCCCCCCCCCACGGCAGTCGCATTCTAACTGAGGAAACACCTGTAAATATGCAGAAACACAGTTAGAATGCGGCGCCAAAATTGGTAAGAAAATGTAAGTTTTTACTGGTATTTTACAGGCGAAATACAGTTAGAATGCCTCCTCCTTTTCTTCTATGTTGTTCCTTGCCCTTCCTTTTCTTCTATGTCTTTTTCATTGATCTATATCTGCTGTAGTTTCCGGGAGGCATTTTATCTGTTGTTTTCGCCACTGTAGCCACATTTCTGACCCGCAGGGAACCTGGAGTGCCCTTGTCTCTTTTCCGCTCTTATCCGCTTCCCTTTCCTTGTCCTTTTGTTTCTATAATAGTCCTTTCCCTTCCTTTTCTTCTATGTCTGTATCCGTAGGCATTCTATCTGTTGTTTTCCCTGCTGTAGCCATATGTTTCTGACCCGCAGGGAACCTGGAGTGCCCTTGTCTCTTTTCCGATCTTATCCTCTTCCCTTTTCTCCTCCTTTTCTTCTATATTGTTCCTTACCCTTCCCTTTCTTCTATGCCTTTTTCATTGACCCATATCTGCTGTAGTTTCCGGGGAGGCAGTCTATCTGTTGTTTTCGCCACTGTAGCCATATGTTTTTGACCCGCAGGGAACCTGGAATGCCCTTGTCATGCCCTTGTCTCTTTTCCGACCTTATCCTCTTCCCTTTTCTCGTCCTTTTCTTCTATATTGTTCCTTAGCCTTCCTTTTCTTCTATGTCTTTTTCATTGATCTATATCTGCTGTAGTTTCCGGGGGGCATTCTAGTCTATCCGTTGTTTTCCGCACTGTAGCCATATGTTTCTGACCCGCAGGGAGCCTGGAGTGCCCTTGTCTCTTTTCCGATCTTATCCTCTTCCCTTTTCTCCTCCTTTTCTTCTATATTGTTCCTTACCCTTTCTTTTCTTCTATGTCTTTTTCATTGATCTATACCTGCTGTAGTTTCCGGGGAGGCATTCTATCTGTTGTTTTCCCCACTGTAGCCATATGTTTCTGACCCGCATGGAACCTGCAGTGCCCTTGTCTCTTTTCCGACCTTATCCTCTTCCCTTTTCTCCTCCTTTTCTTGTATATTGTTACTTACCCTTCCTTTTCTTCTATGTCTTTTTCATTGATCTATATCTGCTGTAGTTTCCGGGGAGGCATTCTATCTGTTGTTTTCCGCACTGTAGCCATATGTTTCTGACCCGCAGGGAACCTGGAGTGCCCTTGTTTCTTTTCCGATCTTATCTCTTCCCTTTTCTCCTCCTTTTCTTCTATATTGTTCCTTACCCTTCCTTTTCTTCTATGTCTTTTCATTGATCTATATCTGCTGTAGT